GGGGGGGGGGGGCGCTTATGTTAACTGATGGGAAAAATTATAGATTTTACATCGATAAAATTAACACAGATTCAAGAAACGTTATCAAATCTCATAATTCATAATGAGAACAATTTCCAGCCCTGCAGGACGAATATAGTCTAAGAGTTTATATCAATGGAATCTGAACAAATATCCTGGTATTAAGCGAAATGATGGTTCAGTTTTTTGGTGAATTTAAAGGGGGCAAGATGATAGATGATTTCAGCAGAATCGTACTTCATGATTCGTTTGAATTTAAATATCAGAGCACGTACTAAATGGGCAGTTCACGTTCCAACTTACTGACTTCATTAATCATTGAAATATTCTTTGTTCGTTTAGTTATAACATGATCTTAATATGGCAGAGTTGAGATAGATTAACAGATTCTGAGTTAGCTAAATGGATTTGTGGCATTTCCGATGGGTTTTTTTTTCTAGAGGGTTCTCATAAGGGCACAAGTCAGCTAAAACGTATCTAAAATTGTTCCGTTCACTGTTACTCTATTCTAATGCGCTTTTCTACTGACTCCTACTCTATGTTTTCCTGAATGGGGTGTGCGATAGACTTGCCTCCACGTGGTGCACCCTGGGCAACGTATACTCATAAGACAAAAAAAGTCTATTAACCGGCAGTTGACTTCTCACTCCAAACTACAATGGCCCCACTGTATGTCATATTCGGCCCTTTCTACAGTACTCCCCTCACCTTTTTTCTCTTCCTCTGTGTCTGTCTCTTTTACATTTTTGAAACACGCTTCTTTCCCCCCCCCCCTCTCGACTTTTTCATTTTGATGTTCCTTCCCCTCTGTGAAGCCTGAAATCAACTAAAGGGCCAAAGATAACTATCAAAACGCCTGCCATTTGATATAAATAAATAAATGTTTTCCTGATTTTCATATTCTCTCATCCAATACGTCCTCGTTCTTACACAAGTCTGTGAGCAGCTCACACTTCCTCTAATCTTTTCGAATGGTCTACGTCAATTCCTTAAGTTGACTTAAGTGGATTCCTTAAGCATTTTGGTAGATAAGATATGCACAAGAAAAATTATTTCAAATTAGTTGGCAAATTCTTCATACTTTGAATTTTGTTCGAACAAATTTCAAATTTTCTCTGAAAACTGCACTCTTATTAGCTGTCACCAAAACCTAGATTCATTTTTCTCTGTTTTGGATCGTTATAAATTGGAGTAAGCTTCGGTTATTTGCCTTGTCTTTATAAATTATTGCTTTATATCATTTTGCAGTTTATTGACAATTGTTTTCTAATTGTTTTCTGAGCCTTATGCTAAAATGCGTACTGGCTTTTTGCTTAACGTTTTAAGCATTACACAAGGTAAGGCATCTTACGATGTGACGCTTACCCTTTGACCGACATTTAAGCGCGTGAATTCAATGGACAAGGAATAGATGTCCATCTACTAGCCATATCGTTTAATTTTAGCCAATAAAAGGGCATAAGAGCGACTCTATCGAAGTTTAGTGCTTCAAATACTCTCCCATTGAGCTTTGAAGTTTATGGGTGCTCAGTCAGTAGTATAGATGGGTTTGTAAATTTCGGATAATTTATTTATTTATTTATTTCGAATGGCAGGTTTTCAAAAATATATTTATTTATTTCGAATGGCAGGCGTTATGATAGGTATCATTAGTCTTTTAGTTGACTTCGGGCTTCACAGAAAGGAAGATGAACATCCAAGTGGTAAAAAGTCGAGAGAGGGTCAGAATAATGATTCACAGACGTAAAAGAGACAGGGAGACACAAAGGTAGAAAATAGGTGAGGTGAATACTGTGGTATTATTCGAATATGAAATGTAATGGGGTCATGGTAGTTTGAAGTCAGAAGCCAACTGCCGATTGATAGACTATTTTGCCGTATGAGTATACGTTGCCCAGGGTGCACCACGTGGAGGTAAGTCTATTGCGTACCCCAATTTCGGATAATGATGGGTGAAAAAGAGTACCCCCCCCCCCCCACCCAATAACTAAAGGAAATTGTTGTCGATCCCTTTCACTATTTTCTGCTGGTTATAACGCCAAAGAAGATGCTTTTTCCCCTTAAACATTAATTTTTCTACTATAATATCTGTGCTTTGGAAAATTTTCAATTTTATAGTAAGAATATATCAATTTTCTAGGAATTAAAATGTCAGCAATTTCTTACGCTAAAAGGCACGATTTTGGTATCAAACAGCGTTTTGTGAGACGATACCACAGTCTAGCAAATAGAGCATTACTTACCAGAGGCAATCTTCTATTGCCAGAGTTTTCTCAATTGAAAACTGATATTGAGCGCGTTGATTACTTCATGGAAATTCTGCGCTCTGCTAATGAAGGTAAGTCATGCTTTAAACAATACTACTAATTGGCTTTAAGTAGAATGACTAAAATATTCTTTACTTTAAGGCAAGAGTCTCGATGATATTTTCTCCAAAAACTATGTGAGACTACTAGTGAAATCCGACAATGGTAAAAGTGACCATGTTTCTAGAGTATATCTACTACACGGAATGGAAGCAAAGGAAAAAGATGATTATTATATGGCGCTTTATGGTCTGACGAAAGCGATTTTCCATGCTGCCACCAAAGAACGTCTTGCATTGTCACTTCTTGAGAGATCCGACCTGCTCTTCCTTTTAGGGTTATACAAGGAGGCCATACATGATGTTAAGGAAGCACTTCGAGTGAGCATTTCTGATTGTAATTGATTTATTTATTTAATAATGATATTTTAAAAGCTCTTTGCTATAAAGCCAAGCTGCTTGTGACATGTTAATAAATTACAGGTCGGTCAAGGAAGAAGAGGTAAAACTCGCTATTTGGCAACGATTGCTTTATTATGAAGATGCTCCTCTTCAATGGAAATTAGGCTAATTTAGGGGGAGGAGAAGGGAACTTTATTCCCAAGTCTAAAGCACAAAGGCAGAAATTTTTGCCAATAGCCATTCCTTTCACATGAGCATTATTAATTTTGCCCAGAGCATAAAACCTAGTTGCGTTTTTTTCTAAAAAAATCGTTCACTTGCCATTCTAGACTTTGAAAATCAAGAAGGAAATAGTAAAGGCCCGAATGATCCTAGGAAGCTGCTACAGGCAACTATACAAAGGAAGATACGCAAGAAGAGAGTTTAAAATTGTGCAGAAGTTATTGAAAAATTGTGAAAATGCGGAAGAAGAGCAACTTAGAGAATTGGCACGGGAAGCCTACATCGAATGCAAAAAGCCTGAAAGAATTAAACTAACGACCGAACTTATGAGACATGAACCCAAAAGAATTAAGGTCAAATCTTCTAAGAGCTCGCTGGTTTATAAATATACACAAATAGCAAATGAGTGGACAACGAAAGTGGCGAGAGACATAGCACCTGGTCAGTAATTTATTAAGAATAAGTCTTTAAATTTTAGGCCCATAACCCCTTTTTTATTTGGTTTTGAACATATTCACATTCTCCGGCTACTATGTTCACTAGTATTCATTACAACTCCCAAAAGTACCGCCAGCGCTTCTCAATTTCGTTTACTTTACTCTGTCTATTATATTGAACTCGGTCGAGATTGATTTTCTGTTCAATCTCTCTTCATAAACTCACCCACCCATCCTTTCAGCTTCCAAATTTGCCAATTTGAGAGATTAGATTAGCGACTTCAAGTCACTCTCTGGTTATTCCTTCATAAACTACAACAAGGGCTGAGTGAGTGTATTAAAGCGGGAATAGTCATTCGTCATTTTGTGGGAAACCTTGTTGGTTTCCTCACACGAATGCCTTTGTTCACGTTTGGTTTTGCACGATCAGCCTAAATACAAAACCTTATTCAATTGCCTCTGACTCTGCTCCTAAAAGGGATCTAGTTGGACCTTTCAACTTCTTTTTGAACGTAAATTTGTCATACTATTCCTTAATAAAAGATTTATTTGGTCAGCACGAAATTTTCGCGGAGTTACGGGTTCATATAAAAGTAACTCATATTAAGGCAAACTTTATTTCTACTTATTACAAGCTAGTAAAATGTTTAATTAGAGTAGATCTTTTTTGCCTCAGGTGAAGTCATCGCCGAGTCCAAACCGGTTGGATTAATCTTGTCTGTTAATAGGACCAAATACTGCTACACGTGCCTCAAGAGATGTCATAATCTCCTGCCTTGCCAATCTTGTGCTCAAGTAAGTCTAATCAATTTTGAGTATGATTGGCAAATCGTATTAGAGAGTTTTCAAAGGAGGCTTTTTGCTATTCTAATATTGGGTAAAGAAAGGCCCTATATGTTACACGAAGAAATATAAATATAAATATATTCGTTTGAGTAAAAAAAACTAATATTAACTACCCTTTAGGATGCTAACTATTAAGATGGCTTCCCAGAACTTGAGTTGTTGTTTCTAGTGTTCCTTTGAAGAGAGTCAATTCGAATTTATTGTCGATATGGTGAAGTGCAGACCTTATTGACTAAATTGAAGTCATTGCTAGTCCGAAGCAATTACTTTTTCTGTAAATATTCGATTAAATTTGATTGTCTCAGACTTCTCTGTTCCCATTTAATTTCCCTTGAAGTGGAAAGCAGCACTTTCTTACGATAATCAGCGTCGTTGACTATTTTACAGATGAAAATTTTGCCACATTTTCATGAATTTTTCTTAACTTATCTCAACCTTGACACGCGCAAGCTTTTTCAGTTTATATTGAAAATTGATGACTTTTAGAGGGTTCTGAGGGCAAATGAACAGGGTCCCGTGATGAGGTCCTGTGAGAGAGGCTTGCCGAAGCTACTCTTTGAAAATGGGAAGAGTGGCCAGCAATATATCACTCAGGCATATCGTTTTAATCGCATGAAATGAAACTCATTTCAATTAGCCTCCAACCAGCTGAAAGTTATTCTCCAACATAGAGCTCAGGATTTCTTAAAAGTAAACCCGATAAAGTCCTATCTGACACTGGTTTATGCGTATTAAAACGACTTCGGAGAGTTTTCTCTGCATAGCAACATAGAACCTGAAAAAATGGAGAATAAACTCAAGCAGTTGCATCTAAATGGAAATATTATTTTTAATCGATAATCCCTATCCACTACATCGGATTCATTGGCTTTCGTCAATATGATGAATTAAGATACCTATGAAACACAGGTCCAGCTATATAGCTTACGGCTATCTGACTGAGACATCTCAGTTGGGAACAAGGAGCTTTTGTCATTAGCCGTAACCTACTTCTCCACTTAGATAGCTAAAAAAATAATTTAAAATTACAGAATATTGATTAATCTTTATCGTTTTTATGACAATTAGGTTGGATTTTGTAGCACGAAATGTGCCAAACGGGCAAAAGAAGATAAGAGGAAAGGGGATTTCTATCCACACCGACACAAATACGACTGCAATGGCTTTCTACCCGTTATATTCAATTGCTTGAATGCTAAAAATCCGAAATCGATCGGGCGTTTAAATCATACCGCTTATACCTGTATCGCAAATACCAAACCACGACGTCTACTTCAATTCATCTGTTCAAAGGGGAAGTACAAGGTTACTTATTAGCTCTTTCTGAAAGTAATCACTTATTTTATTAAAGTCTGAAATAGTCCATTAGTCACACAGCTACCAAATAGCTATTGACCCTGATTGAACTACAAGGATAGTTGTTGCATCAAGAAAGGCGAGAGATCTGGGTGGAGGTGGAAACCTGATGTTTAGTATTTGACTACGTTATTACAGTTATTTATCACCAATGCTCCAATGCTGAACTATATTCTTAATGAATAAAACACATTAATTGTTTAAGAATATTAACCTAGGCAACATTTATATGCTGTTTAGACCAATGGCACAAACAGAAGGAATTTGCCATAAATTAACTAGCATAAATTTTGCATTGTTACTATATATTTGCCTCGTATTCTTACTTAAGAAAAGAAGAGGACATCCAGCCTTCTTTGGAATCGAACATGTTCGAAAAGGTTCCCCACCTTTATGGAATTCATCCGACTATGCCTCCGTTGCGTGGTTAAATCCCTATTCTAACAAGTGGAACAGTGTGGAGGGGACATACGGCACGATGATGCTGGATTTCACCGTTGCCTCAGTCCTTCTTACTTACTGTCTCCATGTAAGGTTATTGAAAATGAGGTCTTTCTTCACTTTAATTCGAAAAGCTAATATGATTATCTAAATGTTGAAAATGGAAAGAGGAATGTGATCACACGAACTTTCAATCTCGTTTCCAGCTTTCTTTTAACTATGCTAAACATCACATCTCACAATACGAAGACAGGAAAACTGTTCATTCAAGTTGACGAAAGTGTCTTGTGAACTGTGGTGAGGTTTAGTGGTAATTGATAGCGAGAAAGGCAAACCATTTACTATGTGAGGAATAGATGAGTACGATGAGAACCAATGGGGCCATGGGAAGTCAGGAAGGCGTTAACCGGTTCAGGTAAACGTCTACGTTCTTGACAGAGTACCGTCTATCACATGCCAATTTGGACATAACAATAAGCACTGTCTATGGCATTCAGACACTAAGACCTAGGTACATTGACCCTAATATTATCGACTTAACTGTTTTCAAAAGCTTCATTACCAAAGGTCACTGATAAGTGAGATTTGAGTTGAGATTAAAAGATGAGTAACAATGAAAACAGGTAATTCAGATTGGAACCTTTCAACCAGATGGCCAAGTGTGAATACAGAAAGGTAAATAAATATAATATTTTTACTTGAATTAGTAAATGCCGAATGTTAAGAATAACTAAACACGCCAAGTTTTGAAAGTCTTCACCATGAACTTTGAAGCCAAACCCGACTTCCACAGTGTAAAGAATTATTGAGTTACTAGAAGGTGTGGCGGAAACTGAAATTCGAAGAAGAGAGGTTCCTTTAGCTAACTATAGAACTGAGTTACAAATAATTTATTCTCTCCTCCCCCCCCCCCCCCCCCCCCCCCCCCCCCCAACCTGTCCGTCGATATTCTACACACAGACAGCCAAGCTAACCTTATATTGGAGTGGCGACATTAATTAAGTATTTACTTTTCGCAACCATTAATTTAGCGTTGCTTTGCATTCTTTTAGCTTTGTGGCTACCCAATGGACTGGACCTATTCAAAGTCAACTCGATTTTCAGACAAACCACCAGCAAATTGGATTGCAGCTTGTTTGCTCTATCATTTACAATCAATAAACGTGAACGCATTTTCATTTTGTGACATTATAAGATGCGACCAGGTGTCTAAATTTGAAGATCTCGCATCTCCCATCTATCCGGCATTTTCACTTATCAATCACTCCTGTGATCCGTCAGCCATTCTCATTGCGTCGACGAAGGGTGTTGGTCTTCTAGTAGCACTGAAGGAATTGAAGGCTGGAAGTGAAGTTAACATAGCATATTACGACATATATACTCATAGGAGTACGGAGGAACGCAAAGAAGGACTCAAAAATATGTTCTTTTTTGAATGCAAGTGTGTAGCCTGTGAAAATGGATGGGATGATGACAATTCTGAAGAAAAATTGAAATGTCCTCGATGTAATCTTGGTTTGTGCTTTGCTGAAGAGGTCTGTTTAAACTGCAAATCAAATCTTCCCCATGAAGAAGCGGAACAGATGTTTAGAGACTTCAATGTTTTTGTTGAATATGCATCGCGTGCAAAATGGACTAAAGAAGAAAAGCGTAGACTTTCATCTTTAATATCGAAGGTCCACTCTCTGGTTTCGCCACCTAGTAGGATGGCGACTACACTTCGAATGGTACTTTTTGATATGATTTTAGAAACGCTGCAACTGTGGACTTATGAATCGTGGATAGCTAACTTTTATGTCTGCAATTATTTCGAGGAATCACGGGAATTGAGAGAGCACAGAAGTCTTATATTGGAATAAATTTCGTCTCTAAAATACCTTTTAATAGTACTTTAATGTTTGGTTAATAAATATTTACTTGTGTCATTTCAACATGGTCTCATTCACGTTCATTTAAATAATGCTTCTTTATTGTAGGTTTCGGAGTTGAATGTACCGATGGGGATGATAACGACAAATTGGAAATTTCAGTATCTAAACAAAAATTGTTACGATGGAAGGTGTCTTGCGCTCAAACTTCCTTCTTTGTGATTTCAAGAGCGTCAAGTTAAGGCGTAGGTGTCGATGAAAGTGGGTGAAAGTATGGTTGAGCTTGCTTAACACTTTCATTCTAATTAGATTAAGCGTCGAAACGAGCAGCAATCACAGCAGAGACACAACCACAAACTTAAAAGTTTGGTTGGTGTCGCCACATTCTCATTTAGATATATTACCTTTACAGAGTTCTTTATTCTTGCCTACAGTAGCGACTAATTTGACCACTTAAATTGCCTGCCAGAGGCCTTTGCAATATTACCTGAGCAAATGTAGTGAATCCTACTTATTTATCGCAATGTATAATTGGGCAGTTTATAGTCAAGCCTGGTTTATGAAGTTTGATGCGCGTTGGTTAAAGGTAGGGGGTTGGTGGGGGGGGGGGGGGGGGGTAAACAAAGGAGACATTTTTTGATCAAAGTACGATTTGTCTTATACTTCTGGCTTGGGTTTTAGCCAAATAGAAACTGACCACTGATCAACATAGTTCGTTGCATTAGGATGTGTTTAGCCAATCAACTGAATAATCAATGAATGGCGACTGGCTTTCAGTATGGATAGACAGTGGCATGGCGATAACATTAAGTTGCACTTCTAGCGCTAAAAAACCCATTTCTCGCCATTATTTTAAACAATTTTAAAGGCCGATAGATGATTTTGATGAACATTTATTTTTTTAATTTATATCAAATAGCAGGCTTTATGATAGCTGTCATTAGCCCTTAAGTTGACTTAAGGTTACTCAGAGAGGAGGAGCAGCAGTCACAAAACGTCGAGAGGGGAGACAGAAGTGTGATTTATAGATGTAAAAGAGAAACAGATAGAAGAGTAGAAGTGAGGTGAGTACTGTAGAAATGGTCGAATATGACATACTGTGGGGTGATGGCAGTTTGAAGTCAGAAGTCAACTACCGGTTTATAGACTTTTTAGCTGTTTGAGTTTATATTGCCCAGGGTGCACCACGTGAAGGTAAGTCTACCGCGCGCCCCATTTTTATAAACATTTATTTAGTTATATCAAATGGTAGGCATTTTGATAGTTATCATTAGCCCTTTAGTTGACTTCGGGCATCACAGAGGGGAAGAAACATCAAATTGAAAAAAAGTCAAAAGAGTGGGGGGGGGGAGAGCAGAAGAGTGTTTCAAAGACGAGGGTAGAAAGGGTAGAAAAAGGGTGAGGTGAGTACTGTGAAAATAGTCAAATATGACATACAGTGGAGTCATGGTAGCTTGAAATCAGAAGTCAACTGCCAGGTAATAGACTTTTTTGCCGTTTGAGTATACGTTGCCCAGGTAAGTCTATCGTACACCCCTTTTTATAAACATAATATGATATGAAAATAGTGGCAAACATTTTTAAAGGCGAATAAAGTCGCCAGTTTGGTGTAAATTAAGTCGGATTTATCTTGCGTCCATGTTTACTTTAGGGTTAGTGTTTTTTTCCCTGTTCATCTGGCGAGTTTGTTAGATAAGTCTAGTTTTAATACTTCGCGGATTATGCCATGTTAGACCTAAAGAGACTTATTAACAGCTCGAATACCAAACTGTATATCCTCAATTTTAGTTCATATTAACGGATTTCTTCTCCATCAAATATCTGGAAAGATTTATTAAACAGATCGCAATCCATTCAAAACGGGGCCAGTCATTTCAAAATAACTGAGCACAGAATGAATGGGGAAGAAGGAACGGACGGATTTGGAATCGTTTCATTCGAACTGTTGAAATTATAAGTTGAGCGAAGCAAGAGTTAGAGCAGTTCTCCTTTCCCTACTTCCTTGCCTATCTTCAAGAGCACATGGTTAGAAATCCCTTACATCTGCTCTTGCACTTTCAGAAAGGAGAAAGCAAGCAGGTGAAATCAATTAAAATGCTGAAAAACGAATTTGGACTTGAGTTGAATGAAGAAAATCTGCAGGGAAGGAGTCGTCACATAAAGTACTTTCAAATATGAGAGTTGTCATCGCGTTCTGATACTTCTACACAACACAGGATCCATATTATCTCTTTTTCTATAGTTGTGATTTGTATTCATTTAAATCAGCAAAATATATCTGAACCGAAATGTTAAAAGATGCCCATTGACATATGAAGCAGAGAGGTGTTCAAGTATGGAAGCATAAATAATGGCAGGACACTCATATTCCTACTTCCTTTGAAGTAGGGATACGATGAGCTACCTACATAGTAAATAAATGGTAACTAAAAATTTATTCATGGAAATCGGGGTAATCAATTCGTCGCTTTCCATAAGAAAAAACAGAGGCTACTGCTTTTTTCTAACAAAAATTCGAAGAGACATTCAGAGAAGTGTGGAGTGCATGACTGAACAAAGAAACCTCACTCGCACTCAGGCAGACTTGAAGGTGCGGCCGTGCTACTTGTCGCGTCGGGTAGGGTGCAAGTGGTGTCGTAAGAGTATTGATATCTCCGACAGTCACCAATGGAAAGCCCCTGCATCGTATTTTAATAACTAATATCTCTGTCAGGCACACACACAACCCAAATGGACGTATTCCACATAATACGTCTGTTTCCTCTAAATTGCTGGGGTATCTTAGTTATCTTTTGTGGGCTTTCCATACTTGGGTATTTTGCCATAGAGATTACAGAGCATAAGTTAAGGCATATTTGTGTAGCAATCATTAGTTAGTTTTGATTTTTTTCCTTTTTAAAAGTTTAACAATGATTACTAGGGAAATCTCAATGAGCCAAGTGCTAAAATAATTCTGTAAACGCCTTTCAGTATCATTTTGCCTTATTAATAGTCAGTAGCATCACTGGTTATTAAGTTATTAGCTTCTGATGCGTTACAAATGGAATTTTGGCATAAAGAAATTCAGCCTTAAAGTAAATATATCTTTGAACCTCGGGTTTCAATGTGCAGAGCTGAATTAGACTCCCCAAACATCTCGAAGATGCTAAAGAGCATGAAGATTAAGCTGGACTTATCATGCTTTGAATACTAGTTGAAATTCCATTTTGGTTCAGCCACTGAAAGTCACACTCTGATAAAATCAAGGCTTAGAGATGACTTTTCGTGCTTAAAGATAAGACTGGTTATCACTTAGATGTAAACATCATCAAGAGCAAGCATTCAAAACTCAGGATCTCTAGGTTATTTACCACACTAATAAGCCTTGTCTTATCCGCAGTGATCTCCATGACAAGATACCCACAACAATATAGAGGTAACAGGAGTATGGTGTTGATTGGCTGAGACAGCGCATGTTCTCTAACGTGATCAATAACACACCGCACTTGATGGCCACAGGATAAGTAGCACGCTGCTCTTTCCAGAATATTCTAGTGTGTGTATAAGATTCGCTGGTTCAGCTAAGTTAACGTAGTGTTAACCACCGTTCTGAACAATTTAAAGTAATCGTGATTCCTAACAAAAGAACTTGTATTATCTAAATAAATTCGTTTAGGTATATCAAGGAATCGACAACCTTATCCGCTTCTGAAGGATAATACTTTAGATGGAATTGGAGAATGGTTTAGTGGATGAGAGCGGAGGGGGTGGAGGGGAGAATAATAGCATAACAAAGATAATGGAGTATCAGAACGATTGAAAATCCTAAAGGCTATTACAAGTTAAAGATAGTTTTCATTAGCCCAAGAGAGTGGACCGATGAGTGATTTGCAGATTTAAAAGAGACAGACACAATGGTAGAGAGTAGGGTAAGGTGAATACTGTAGAAGTGTTCGAGACAGACACAATGGTAGAGAGTAGGGTAAGGTGAATACTGTAGAAGTGTTCGACTATGACATACAATGAGGTCATGGTAGTTTGAAGTAGAAGTAAGTCTATCGCACACCCCACAAGTTAAAGATAATACAAGTGAATATTTATGTACAATTTTAATTTTAAATAAAATTCATTTTATGCCTATCATTTTTGATAGCAAGTAATTTGTATGACATCGGTATTTTAATATCAAAAGAAAAAATATATTGATGGAAAAGATCTGATGAAGTATTTCTCCTTAACCATGGTATGATGCGATACGGGGTTCAATGGACAATGGAAGAGTTTCAGAGACGGGTCTGGGTAAAGTTTTGGCCAAAATTTAACAAATTGTGGAATACATGAGGCACCTCGCCAAAACTGAAACATCACCTTAAATGTACCCGATTCACGTCTATTGATGAAGAGTAAAGGCATGTAATTTAATAATTCCAGAGACAAGCCCAAAAATTCTACCATGAGGGAATTTACAGGTGCAAATGCGAATAACAAAGGAGCATCGATAACAATTGAGCCTACCTAGAAAAGTGAATTTGATCACTTCTTGATTAAATTCATAAATTATGGATCCTGTCTGAGTGCTTTTTGACTCACTCCGGTATTTCCCATGGTAGCTTACTCTATCGACGAACCACAAAAGGTTTATGAAACTGCCTATTCAGGCACTATTAAAGGATTTGACGTCAAAAGTCAAAAAATGATCCATTCTCAAATACTGTGAACTTTGCTAATGATCTATTTGCATGAAATGCTCTTATTAAATTATGCAATATATATAATATTTTTGTTTGTAAATAATAAATGAAGATTATAAATGGCGGCTGTATAAAATTGGTTAATTAATTTAAAACCAAATATGAATACCCATATATCACTGAGTCTAATGTCATCAATAGCGTTTTTTCCATACGCCATTATTAATTGACTATATTTGCTATGAGTGTGATCTATCTAGCAACCTGACATGATGCACTATTTGTATCATTTAATCATTTATTAATTTCGCCTACTTTTAA